ACAATAAAAACATAAAAATAAACAAAAATAAAGAAATTATGGAAAAACTTAATACGAATTTTCCGAAATTTATAAAAAAGGAAATGAACACCCTCTGTTCTGAATACGTTGATATATTTGCATTGGAGAGTGAACCAATAACAGTAAACAACTTTTACAAACAGGAATTAAAACTATTAAACGATGAGCCGGTTTACATAAAAAACTATCGAATACCCCATAGCCAAAAAGACGAAATAAATATTCAAATAAAGAAACTTATAAAAGATGACATAATAGAGCCCTCAGTATCAGCATACAACAGCCCATTGCTATTAGTACCAAAAAAATCACTACCAGGAAAAACTCAAAAACGATGGAGAATGGTAGTTGATTATAGGGGCATAAATAAAAAACTAATAGCCGATAAGTTCCCACTGCCCAGAATAGATGATATTTTGGACCAGTTGGGAAGATCAAAATATTTCTCCTGTTTAGATTTAACATCTGGTTTCCACCAAATTGAACTAGAGAAAAAGTCAAGAAATGTCACATCTTTTACGGCAGATAACGGAACATATAGATTCAAAAGATTGCCTTACGGCCTCAAAATAGCCCCAAACTCATTCCAAAGAATGATGACCATGGCATTTGCAGGATTATCACCTGCACATGCATTCCTATACATGGACGACTTGGTCGTATTAGGCTGTTCCGAAGAACACATGTTAAAAAACCTTAGAGATGTGTTCACTATCTGCAGAAAATACAATCTAAAGTTGCACCCAGACAAATGTTTATTTTTTAGTCACGAAGTAACATACTTAGGCCATAAATGCACAGACAAAGGAATATTGCCAGACGACACTAAGTTCACATTAATTCAAAACTACCCAACACCAACATCAGCAGACGAAACAAAAAGGTTTGTTGCATTTTGTAACTACTATAGAAGATTTATTCCAAATTTTGCAGAGCAAGCTCGTAATTTAACAAGATTAAGTAGAAAAAATACACCCTTTATATGGACGAAAGAGTGCAACACAGCTTTCAATTTTCTTAAAAATGCTCTTATAAGCCCTCAAATCTTACAATACCCAGATTTCAAAAAATCATTTTGCTTAACAACAGATGCCAGCGGTTTCGCATGTGGAGCAGTACTAAGCCAAGAGTACGATGGTAAGCAATTACCAGTTGCATATGCATCTAAGGCATTCACAAAAGGCGAATCCAATAAATCAACAATAGAAAAAGAATTAGCAGCAATTCACTGGGCTATAACATATTTCAGACCATACCTATACGGTACAAACTTCCTGGTGAAAACAGATCATCGCCCATTAACATACCTATTTTCAATGAAAAACCCGTCGTCTAAGTTAACACGAATGCGATTAGATTTAGAAGAATATGATTTTGTGGTGGAGTACATAGCAGGAAAAGAAAACTATGTAGCGGATGCGCTATCCCGCATAGAAATATCAGATTTAAAAAACTTAACTGCCAAGGCAGCCCAAATACTTAAAGTAACAACACGGTCAGAAGCCGAAAAAGTAAAAACAAAAAACACTCTTAATACGACTGGTAAAGAAAGTCTTAAGGTCCCAAAAATATATGAAGAGCTATATAAAAAAGAAGTAAAACGACATGTCGAGCTCATTCTGACCCTTCCGAATTTACTATTCAAAAAGGGAAAACGAATTTGTAGCCAATTTATAGTGAATGACCTGATTATTAACGAGAAAATTGACTTAGGACAATTCTTCAAGAGGCTTACTTTAGAAGCCGGTAATCTAGGCGTCACTAAATTACAACTGTCCTTAGAAGACAGAATATTTAAATATACCCGGGTAGAAGAATTTAAAGAAATGGGAAATAAAAACCTTACAGACATAACAATTGCGTTAACGCCAAAAACAACATACTTGCAAGACAAAAAATCGATCGATAAAATATTAAAACAATTCCACGACGACCCAATTACTGGAGGCCACCAGGGAGTCAATCGCACAATTACCAAGATTAGAGAAAAATACAACTGGAAAAACATGACAAGGGATATAAAAAAGTATATCAAACATTGTGACAAATGTTTGAAGAACAAAACTCTCAAACACAACAAAGAAGAAATGCAATTAACTGCAACGCCAGCGAAAGCATTCGATACGGTTCAGATCGACACAATAGGACCCCTACCAAGGTCAGAAAATAATAATGAATACGCCGTTACAATTCTATGCGATTTGACTAAATACCTTATTACAATACCGATCCCTAGCAAGCATGCTAAAGTCGTAGCCAGTAGTATCTTTAATAACTTTATTCTTATCTATGGTCCTATGAGGACGCTCATAACGGATATGGGTACAGAATATAAAAACAGCATTTTTTCCGAATTATGCCAGTTATTAAAAATTAAACATAGAACATCGACAGCCCATCACCATCAGACACTCGGTGCAGTAGAACGTACACACCGAACATTCAACGAGTATGTTCGCTCGTACATCTCTAGTGAAAAAGAATGATTGGGACGAATGGCTAAAGTACTTTACATATTGCTACAATACAACACCATCAACAGTACATGGGTATTGCCCATTTGAACTCGTTTTTGGTAAAAAACCACAAACGTATGACTTTCTAGAAGAAGGTAAGGTTAGTCCAGTATACAACCATGAAGCATACGATAAGGAAGTAAAATATAGATTACAGATAGCTACGAATAGATCAAAATTATTATTAGAAAAAGCAAAAACCAAACAAAAAGCATATTATGACAGGAACCTAAATAGCATACAAATAAATATAGGAGATTTAGTATTAGTTAAAAATGACACAGGTCATAAACTAGATAACCAATATAGGGGCCCATATAAGGTAATAGGAATAGACGATAGGAATAACTACATATTAAAGGATAGAAATAAAACCACCAACGTAAACAAAAATAGATTAAAAGTATATAAAGAAAATAAAATATAAACAATTGGTTCTTTTTCACCATTTCATGGGCATAGAAAAAAAAATGTAATAATAATTATATAAAATTACTTATACATACATATATACTTATACCCTTAAACAGAATTAAACAAAAAAAAAAAAGTACATTAACAAAAAAAAAAAAAACCATACAAATACAATGTACACTTAAAGCAATTTACACCTACACAAATATATTTAAACACACACAAACACACTTTGTAAAACCTTGTAACACCTTAGAATAACTCCATTACTATATTACGTTATTCCTATAAAAAGGGAGGTGTAGTGTATTCATGCAGTGTGCTTGGCCTAACCAATTTAAGCACCACCCCAAGGCCAAGTTGCAATATGATGCAGTTTCGGCGGCGGTCATTGTCACTGCCCAAAAGTGATGCGTCTGCATCTAAACCGTGAGAACCTTACGTAACGGGCATTGGGCAGGTACCACCGCTGACCGAAAGCTGACGCCTCATATTGCATATTGACTGTGGGAACTGTCGTTACACAATAGAATAAGAGTAAATAAGTAGAAAACCAATGAAGTTATGTATGGAATGTAATGTAGTTCGTAAGGTTACGACATGAAGTCCCGCCACTGTAAATCATAGCAACATGCAACTACACGCCCGCAGCATAGCCGACAAGCGATGCGTGGGAATAAAGCAATCGTAAATTGAACTTCGTCTCGCACGGTTTATTTCTTGATCGCCTTTTATCTCCGCCCACAGCTCTGGTCTCTACTACTAATTCCCGCGTTCCAAGCCTAAGTAAAGGCATCAAAACATAGTTTCGAATTTTCTACATGGCGCCCGAGCAGGGACTTTGGGATTAGTTTTCGTTTTAAATCGTTGTTCGACCAGAACGCTGTTCGCGAGTTAAAGCCGCGAAAAAACCGCCAATCGACAATCCAGAAGGAAGATCACGGAATTGGAGACCGCCATCCACACCTACAACCGAAGCAGAACATGGACATTGAGTTGCCAACGCCCAGGGAAGTGGATTCATCCGACGACCAGGTAACAATGCCAAAGCAATAGTGGCTAAAATAATAGCGTTTAATACCTATTGGCTTGGCATTGAACAGTATTGTACATACATTCACCTACCGTTTAACTATTCGTGAGAGCTGGGTAGTTCGGGAAGAGTATTAGAAGGCGCCAACGACATAGTTTACCGCTCATTTTGCATTTGGTAGCATTATTTCGCATTTCGTTTCGTTCGCTGAGAAAACATTGACCCTTGCAGCGGTAAACTAATTTTCGCGCTATTTAATGTACAGCATACGGTTCTCTTAAGTTTCGTGCAGTACCCTCGTCGTAACTTTGCTCCCGCAGCTTCGTGGTTATCCAACTCTCTAACTGGTGTCGCCCAGCTTGTCGTTTGTGACGAGAGCTGATCATCCGCTCTTATATTGTGCCAATCAATTGAAACATCGTTCGCCACTTCGTTTTGGGTCGAACGCTGTTCTAATTTAGGTATTTGTGTGCGCTTTGACATCTAATTTTCTAGCTGGTGTCGCCGAGCTTGTCGTATGCGCGAGAGAGCTGATCATCCGCTCTTATATTGCGCCACTCAATTAAACATCGTTCGCCACTTAGTTTTCGGGTCGAACGCTGTTCTAATTGGGAGTCGAGTGCGTTGCGCGCATTAGAATTGCGTTTGCTTATTGGTTCGAACTTGGTTCGAGCTCAGTGTGTCGAGCCAAACTTGATGTTGGTTGCGTACGCTTAGCTTAGCGTTGCGCGCATTGGAACTCCAGACGTCCGTTTCGTAGGGGATCGAACGTGGGTCGAGTTGGTTCGCCGTGACAGAGCTCGGTTGCGTTTGTTGCGTTTTTGTCTGTTCTAACTGTTGCAGTCGTTGTCGCATCGAACCTAATACGTTTATACGTGGGTACTTGAATACTTTTGCCGTACTGTCAAACATTGTTCTCATTGAACGCAGTGCATTTCCTCAGGTTATCGTCGCCTTCGCTTAGCAAGTTTGAAGTTTAGAAGTTAGGAACAGCCAACGTTGGTAATTTAATCAACATGTCTAAAGATCATGATGAAGAGAAGGCAACTGGGAGCGGAATGTGTGGAAGCACGAAGCTCACAAAATTGTATGTGAGGTTGGAGAAGATAAGCGAAGATATAAATCGAATGAGGATAGCATTTGAGGAGGGTTCAATTTCGCTGGATCCATTACAAATCCAATGTCGTTTGGAAATATTGAACTCCTATATTGAAAAAGCAATGGCACTGCAGTCCGAGATCGATGTACTAGACCCAGATAATTCAGATAGGGCGGCGTTGGAAGAAACGTGTGTGATCACAAAGGCTCTGTACATGTCGGCAGCGACCAACAGATCCCCTCAACCATACATGAATTCAGCACCCACACACCACCACTCCAATTTGCCAAAATTGAAGTTGCCGAAGTTCAGCGGCAAGCATGCGGATTACAAACAGTTTATTAGTCTGTTTGAAAGTTTGGTAGATTCCGACCCGTCGTTGTCCAATATAGAGAAGTTCAACCATCTCATATCGTGCTTGTCCGATGAAGCCTTGGGAACCGTTAAGGCGTTCCAAATGTCAGATGCCAACTATCCAAAGGCGTTAGAAAGTTTGAAGAGGGTGTACGACAACAAGTGCTTAATATTCTTTGAGACACTTGCCCAGTTGTTTGACATTCCTGCCGTAACCAAGCCGTCAGCGTCTGCATTGCGATCAACTATAGATACAGTGTCAGCCATTCTTGAGTCGCTTTTATCGTTGGGAGACGAGCGAGAGGTTGCTAACGCCATGATAATACATCTGGTGTTATCCAAGGTGGACCCATACACAAAAACAAAGTATGAGGAGCAGCTTAACTACGATGAGCTCCCTTGCTGGTCGGATTGTGCGAAAATGTTGAACCGCCGGTACCAGCACCTTTCAGCAGAGGAGTCATCCAAAGCGAGAGGCAAACCAAAGTTTGACATGCCGTCGACCAGCAAGAAAACCAGCAGATCGTCATTTTCTTGCGCGAGGGCCGAAAAGTCGATCGACCCCAAGTGTTTATATTGCGGCGCCAACCATTCGATCGGAAACTGCCAGGGATTTGGGGCAATACCCGTCTTGGAGCGTTTCGAGTTCGCAAAAGGCAAGCAATTATGCATTAATTGCCTCCAATCTGGACATAGGGTATCTCAGTGCACATCCTCTAAGTGCAGAGTTGGTTCACAGAGGCATCACACCCTCTTGCATAGATACGCAGCTCAGAGCGCAGATTCAGAAAGTCAGGCAATAGGAGTACAAGCATCGTCCCATCCTGCGCAGGTGAAGCAGGCATCCAGTGAGCCCGAGCATGTCATCCTTGCCACAGCAGTGGTAAGAGTTCGGGACAGATTTGGCCAAGTTCACTTAGCAAGAGTGTTGTTGGATTCGGGTTCACAGGTCAATTTCATGACAGAAAGTCTAGCGCAATCGCTAAGGTTGGCAAGGGTCAACCGTTGCCTGACAGTGACATCTGTAGGCAAGTCAAGCTCGGTGTCGAGGAGTGAAGTCTCGACGACAATATACTCCAGGTTAAATAACCATAGTTTCGTAGCAGATTTCTGGGTTCTTAGCAGCATTACCAATCAGCAGCCTGACAGAAGTCTGCCCATTAAGCAGTGGAAAATTCCTGCGAATGTGGAGTTGGCAGATCCAGCATTCCATCGACCTCAAAGGGTAGATATGCTGATTGGAGCAGACTCGTTCTTCGATCTGTTGTGCACAGGCCAAATAAAACTGGGTGAAGGGGCACCATTGTTGCAAAAGACCCTTTTAGGTTGGGTAGCTTCAGGTCGGTGTAGCAAGCTTCTGACTGGAGAAGCCGCTTGCTGCGTCGCAACCTACTCACCGGAAGAAGACTCTCTATCTCAAATGGTCGAAAGACTGTGGGAGATAGATGCAACGCCAGAAGAAAAACATGCTCAAACAAATTCGGCAGAGCAGCTGGCATGCGAAGAGTTTTTCAAAGCCAATGTCTGCAATTTACCGACCGGAAGGTTTCAAATACCGTTGCCTTTCAAGACAGACCCAGTATCGTTGGGGTCGTCCTTCGAGGTCGCAAAACGTCGTTTCTTATCGTTAGAGCGACGAACGTTAAGAGAGAGTGAGCTGAGAGACATGTATCTCAGTGTCATGAAAGAATATATCGAGCTCGGCCATATGTCTCCGACAGACAACGCGATTCCGCCAGGACCACATTATTTTATACCACACCAGTGCGTCCTGAGGCCTGATAGCAGTTCCACCAAGCTTCGAGTCGTTTTTGACGCGTCGAGCAAGACCACAACTGGGTGGTCATTAAACGATTTACTTATGGTGGGACCTACTATTCAGAGGGAATTATTTTTATCACTCGTTCGATTTCGGGTGAATCGGTATGCTTTAACGGCAGACGTTTCGAAAATGTATAGGCAAGTGGATGTGGCCGTAAAAGACCGGAATTTCCAACTCATCGTGTGGCGAGAACATCCCACCGATCAATTGCAAATTTTTCGGTTGAACACAGTTACCTATGGTACTTCCGCAGCACCTTTCCTTGCCATTCGTTGTTTGCACGAGCTCGGTGTACGCCACAGAGACACCCACAAGAAGGGTTCTGAGGTGATCTGCAGTGATTTTTATGTAGACGACATGCTGACAGGAGCCGATGACGTAGACACGCTGAAGTCGATTTGCGATCAGGTGTCTGAGATTCTTGGCTCCGGAGGGTTTCAGCTTTCGAAATGGTTTTCGAACCATCCAGAACTAATGGATGGAAACAATGAGGAGAAATCCCTATCATTCAATGATGCCGATTCGACCAAAACATTGGGGATGAGGTGGAGTCCAAGAACAGATACGTTCCGGTATCACTTGGAAGATAGCTTCACAAACTTGAATCCGACTAAGCGCACCATTCTGTCAATTAGTGCTCGACAAGCGTATGGGTGCTGCATTTATGTGCGAGCGCTTTTCGAAGGTCAAACGTACGTTCGATTGATCGCTGGGAAAGCAAGAGTAGCTCCCCTAAAAACAAAGACCATCCCGAGGCTCGAATTGTGCGCCGCAGCGTTATTGGCGCAATTTTGGGTCTACGTAAAGCAAGTTTTGGAAAAGTGTCGAATCGAGAGCGTATTTTTCTGGACGGATTCAGAAATAACGCTACATTGGATTAAAACCCAACCGTCGTCACTTGCAGTATTTGTCTCAAATAGAGTAGCCATGATTCAGGAGCTATGTCAGGGCATTACGTGGCGTCATGTCCCATCGCTGTCGAATCCAGCGGACTTGGCGTCTCGCGGATGCGAAGTGCCTGAGCTCCTGGAGTCCATATGGCTAGAAGATCCGAACGACGGAGAGGTGCTGACGCCAGGCCATTTTTTAATCGGCCAGCCCCTTCGTTCGCTGCCGCAAGAGTGCGAGCCAGACGGACGGAGCAGCGGTACCACCTTTACCAAGAGGTGGCAACTACTCTCAGAGCTCAAACGACGTTTCTGGCAGGCTTGGTCGAAGGACTACGTCCACAACCTGCAAGCACGCAGCAAATGGCAAACCCCAGAGGCCAACATCGGGGTCGGCGCCATGGTGGTGGTCCACAACGACCATACGCCGCCGCAGCGGTGAATCACCGGCAGGGTCACCAGCGTCGTCGTGGGAGCAGACGGCAAGGTCAGGGTGGCAGAGGTGCGAACAGGAGGGGGCGTGATTAGACGCCCGATCCATAAGCTGGCACTTTTGCCGATATGTTGAAGCCCGACGTGCGGTCGTTCAAGGCGGCCGGAATGTCGTTACACAATAGAATAAGAGTAAATAAGTAGAAAACCAATGAAGTTATGTATGGAATGTAATGTAGTTCGTAAGGTTACGACATGAAGTCCCGCCACTGTAAATCATAGCAAAATGCAACTACACGCCCGCAGCATAGCCGACAAGCGATGCGTGGGAATAAAGCAATCGTAAATTGAACTTCGTCTCGCACGGTTTATTTCTTGATCGCCTTTTATCTCCGCCCACAGCTCTGGTCTCTACTACTAATTCCCGCGTCTCAAGCCTAAGTAAAGGCATCAAAACATAGTTTCGAATTTTCTACAGGAACCTTACGCAACAGGGCTTTGTTTCCCACGATAGAACACCTGCATGGAGGCAACTCGCCCCAACGATTTTGTATAAATATAAGCTTCATTTAAATAAAAATCAATCATAACAATTATAACATCCAAGCGTACTACACTACCCGGGTTCTTCTGTCCTCTGTCCACTACAGCTGATTTCATTTCACACAAGCTTGCAAAAGGAATGCCATGAAGATAAAAGGTTTCGATTATTTGCTAAAAAGCAAGAAAGAAGCTCATGTGCTCTTTATGAAGTTCCTATATTTGCCGCTTTTACCAGCGACCAATATTGTTGAAGCATTTCAGACTTTGCCATCAGAGGCAAATAATATTGATGAACAGTTGTTTTGCCCCATCTTAAAGTATTTCAATAGGCAATGGCTTGAAAAGGTACGTATTTGAAATAAATTGAAGGTATATATACAGATATTAAACATATTTAATGTATTATTTAATTTGACATTTAGGAAGGAGCTGAGAAGATTTCAGTATTCAATCGCTCGACCAGAACCACAAGCTCTGTTGAAGCTTATAATCTCAACTTGGGCAATAAAATTCGTTCCCACGGTCACTTCTTTAAGTTTGTTCAATTCCTAATTGATGCCGAATATGAAAAAAGCCGCGAATTCGCTTTGCTTTTCCAGAACGGGGGATTAGGAAATCAACCACAGACAAAAAAATTACGTGTAAGTTGAGAGAATATATATAATACAATTAAATACTTATGAAACCATTGAAATATATTTTCAGGACCGTGCACAAAAAATCATGGATGCTATGGAACTGTTTGAATAAAAAAAGAAATCGATGTGAAGGGCTTTTTAGCGCGCGCTGTTTCTATAAATAATCAGTTTTCAAAGTTTTCCAATGACACACTTTCGAATCACAGTTCGGAAAAGGAGAAAAAAGTGAAAACTGATCTTAATTCGTCTCATTCGTCGTCTTCTTCAAGCGATACCGGTTTGTCTACTGCTAACCAACACAATTTATGTAACGTATGTTTTGAGAACAGAAAATCTGTTTTATTGCGCCCAAGCAACCACGTTTCTATTTGTGGTAAATGCTGGGAAAAGATTGTTGACAAACATGAAAACGAAAATTTCCTTGAAGAAAGAGATGAAGATTTAAATAAAAATATAAAATGTCCAACCTGTAATCAAAATGTAAAGGAGGCAATATGCAATGTATTCATTTATAGCTAAATAAATAAGCTTATACCTATATATATACTTTCCATATAAATACATTTAAAAAAACCCATTTTTGCAACAATTTATTTTTATCTTATAAATGGTCGAATTGAGGAAACAATTTTTTGTATTTCAGCTTTATAAATCAATTCCTTTTGAACAAATATAGATATTTTCATGATATCCTATTTTTGTAAATATGGAAGAATGAACTTTTAACTGTCCACAGCGCATAATGAAAAAGTGACTTGACACTGGTTTTCGGCTGGGGCTCATTGTGCGAAGCTTGACGTCATATCTTCACGGAGTTTGGCGTCATATGTCCACTTAATTTTGGGCGGACATATGACGTTCTGAAACGATAGATCTCCGCGCGGAAATATGACGCCAAACTCCGCGCGGAGGTATGTCGTTTCAAAAACTCCGCGCGGAAATATGACGCCAAACTCCGCGCGGAGGTATGTCGTCTCAAAAACGACATATCTGCGCGCGGAGATATGACGCCAACGTCCGCGCGGAGACATGTCGCGCGGAGATATGTCGCTATGCCGTTTTAGAATATACATTGTAGATGTAGATATCAGATGTAACAAAAAAATGTAAAATGTAAAACTTATTTTTTTAATTGGTAACACTACTCGACAAAATGGAACTTTTTTTTTCCTCAAGGATCCAAACCAACTTTTTCTGATAGATATGGGGCTTTAAATGTTTTTAAGGAATTATGGTTTTTTTTCTATGGCAGAACTTTTTTTTGAAGAATTTTTGAAGTCTGGTATTTTTTTTAAGCTTTTTTCAGAGGTAGCGTTTTTTTTTTTTTCACATAACTCTAGTACGTTACGTCTGGTTGTAAAAAACTTTGTTATTTCGAAAAGATAATTAAAACAGCTAGAAGTTAAGCCTAAACACTTTGTGATTTCAGCTTACCGCCTGGGAAATATAAAGCTTTGAAATGCAAAAATGATGATTTTTGTGCGGTATTTTTTACGAAATTTGGACTTTCAAAACTCAGGAAAAGTCGAAAAAAAATTATATCCTGTGTCCTTTATTTGTGTCCGTGTATAGGTGCATTAATTTGGCGTCGGTTAAGGTATCGCTCATTAAAATCTATGGAGAGACTTTGGAGGTAAAAATTCGTTAACCCAACCTACAAAATGAAAAAATTTAACAAAAAATACCTTTTGGAATGAGGTTTAACAAAAAATACCTTTTGGAAGGTTGCAGGCTTAACTGCCAATTGCGAACAAAGCAAACGAAAAAGGGTTGTTCATTTGGTACCTGGCGATCCCAATTCCCAATTGGCAATTGGGCCTGCAACCTTCCAAAAGGTATTTGTTCGGCTAAGCGCCGGCCCATGGCAGCACAAAGAGTAGTTGATCATCTCTTAATCTAATGTCTCTCTTTATAACCGTTTGTTTGCTTGTACTTATGCTCTTGCTGGTACGTTGCTCTTTCTCGGCGTTAGTCAGCCGCTGTGGGGGAGGCTCATCAGAAAAAGCAGAAGACACTTCAAATTCGATCATCACCGTAGTAAAACGTTTGGCTGTCTGGCACAGTGACCTGCCTGCCACAGAGTTCTAAACTAAACCTAACATAAACATATCAACTTCAACAGTCTTGAACCGGCCCCCGCGTCTTCAATCGACCCATCGTTAACTCTCGTTATCAAATTCGAACACCTTTCGCTAGTTTTGGATAATACATACATATTAACTTAAGTAAAATAAATTGTGAATATATTTACTGAACAATCATCGTCTCTTAAATAATCTTGCAAAACAACGCTACTGAAGAAGCTCAGTAGCTCAACAGTATTCTTTGTTAAATTTTTTCACTTTACAACCAGACGTAAGATACTAGAGTTATATGAAAAAACAAGCGCTACCTCTGAAAAAAAAATTTCAGACATAGAAAAAAAAAAATATCATCAAACCATTTCTAAGCCCCAAATATTTAAGAAAAAGTTCGTTTTGTTCTTTGAGGAAAAATCGTGTTGACTAGTGTAATTAATTGATGTGGTCATGGCTGTGTTGTAAATGTGAGTAACTTGCATGATGATTCTAGGGAGTATTATTTTCAAAAATTTCGGGTTCATATCGTCTAGGCCAATAGCATTTGATTTAATTTTAAGAATGGATTTTAGAACATCACAAGGACTAACACAATAGAAACTAAAGCTAGGAACAGTATAATTATAGGGCGCTGATATCAAGTTCAGGGTTGGTGGTGGGTCCGGTACAACTAATTGCAACAATTTTTTGCTAACTTCATTTATGTCCATGTCAACTTTCTTGTTTTTTTTTTGCCAATTCCTATACTTATAATCATTTGCCATTTCAGCTTCCTACACAGAGCGTTGTTAAACTTTGACGAGTAGAAGGCGGTCTTGGTAGAGTATATAAGTTTAGTTACGTCTGATCTTTTTTGAAATTTTTTGAAAGCCTCATTTCGTTGGATGATACCCAGCTTTATCTCCGGGTTGAACCATGAGTTATCTGTTCGTTTGACTGTCTTTCTCTTAATAGGTACATGTTCACTGTTCACTGTAAAGTCAATGTTTGATTGAAGTTGGGCAAGCTGAGAATTTACAGACAACATATAGTGTATTGATGTCCAGTCAAGAATGCTAATGTCAGTGTGTAGTTTTTCAAGGTCAATAGTTCATAGTCATAGTTATGTTAGTCAGAATTAAAATCATAGGTCAAGAAAATAAGGTCATGTTTTGAATATCCTGGTGCTGTGAGTTGGTCATATAGTAGAATTTTTTCAGTACTGTCGACAAAGAATAGGTCTAGTAGTGTGTTTCTGGTTTTTGTAAAGTGTATGGGGAGCTGTTGGTTCACTATATTTAAGTCAAGGCTCCACATGCTATCTGTTAATGAGGATTCTCTAAGAATATCACAATTAAAGTCACCTGCTAGGATTACGTCTGTATAAGTCAATAAAATATCAGTAATAAGTGATGTCAGGTCTGAGTAGTCAATGTTTCGATTTGGTCGATATATGCATCCAAGTTTTAGTTTTATCGTATCTTTAAAAAGACAGACATGGCTCTATCGACTCGGCTATTGATGCTGATCAAGAATATATATACTTTATGGGGTCGGAAACGTTTCCTTCTCTGCGTTACACACATCCACTTTTACCACAAATCTAATATATCCCTTAACTCTTTTTTGAGTACGGGAATAAAAAGCCGACGAAAAGATAGCAACCGACGCAAATAAAAAACTCGAAGGAGAAAAAGATACTGTTACAAACCAAAAGGAAGACTCCAGGGAAGAAAATATATTTTTTAAAGAAAAAGACGACGGAGAAGAAA